ACATGCTTGCCATGCTGCAACCGTGGCCACACTGGGCTCTGCCATGTTCAGCTGGTTACATCCTGGCCTGGTCCTTCTATGCCCTTCTCTAATAGAGGGGACAGAGGTGAAGCCACCCAAGCCATAGGTTGCTAAATAAGACCCTGTGCTAGCAAGCCAGGCGAGAGAAGGTGGGCACGGGGCGCAGGCCTGTGATCCCAGCACTCAGGAGGCAGAGGCAGGAGGAAACCATAAATTCGAGGCTAGCCTGGACTGAATGGTGAGAACTTGTCACTCAATAAACCAACCAAACAAAAAAGAGACAAAACTTGGGGTATAGTAATAAGGACTCCTTTTTCACCCACTGCCTTCCATCAGAGTTGGTTCCATTTATTTACTGTTATTGTTGTTAGTTATTATTATTATTATTATGGATTTTTGAGATAGCATCCCAAAAGGCTACCCTTGAACTTGCAGGGATCTTTCTGCCTCAGCCTCCTAAATGCTGGGATCAGGTGCCACGAGGAGAGCAGACTTCATTCGGGCTTCCCCGATGTTCTGAGTCTTGTTTGTTTAAGGAGAATCCCCGAACCCCTTCCTTGTCCAGTTCTGCCTCCTGACTCCAGATCTGTGCCTCGAAGAGGGGAGAGTCTCTGCATCCACAGGCTGAGTGCCGCCCTCCCCGCAGGACAGCGCCGCCCACTAGTGATTTCCTGGACTGCTTGTTACACAGCACTGGGAGCATAAGAGCCTTGGCAAATGCTGCTTGGGCCAGGGCTGGGTACTGGGACGTCTGTGTCCTCAATGCTTCCCTTCCTGGCCATAAACACACAGGGAAGCGGCGGGGAGCCCAGTTCAGCTCTGCGCATTCCCATGGAAAGTGAAAACGCAGTGGACGCTGGTGAGGAAGCCTGGGCTGCGCAAGGACATGCAGGTTCTGGAAGCAGGCGGCGCAGCACTCCTGAGTAGACAGGAAGTGTTCCCAAAGACACCCAACAGTGCCAGGGAAAGGGGTAACAGCCCTGTTCTGAGAGAGGCAGGAGCTACTCTGCTGTTCAAGGAAGCAAAATAGGGTATTTTTGAGGTCCCAAGGTCTGAACACATACGAAAAACACCTATGGTGACACTAACACAAAAGGAAGACAGGAAGAAGCAGCTTCGAGGGGTCAGGTCAGCAGGCGTGGTGGCACACGTCTGTCATCCCAGATGCTCAGCAGGCTGAGGCAGGAGGGTCACTAGATGGAGGTCAACCTGGACCAACCTGGGCCTTGTCGCAAAATAAAAAATAGGGCCAGGGCTGGGGCTCTGTGACAGACAACTCAATCCCCAGTACCGAATTTAAAAACAGAATGAGTGTTTCGCGGTTTATGATTCTAAACAAAAGTCCTCAGGGGAACCCTACACTTTCAGGCGGGCCCCTGTGAATTCACGCCTGAGCTTCTCGATGAGAGGCCAGAATAAGGTGCTGCAGTGACAGGGGCAGAGGCCCGTTTTCTGTCTCTCTGTCTCCCAGTACCGACCCTGGGTTGGCCATTAATTTATTTATTTGAGTCACAGTCTGGCTGTGTGGTCCAGGCTGGCCCTGTGCTCACAGAGACCGTCCTGCCTCAGCTTTCCAAGTGCTGGGATTACAGTGTGTACTACCACGCCTGGCTGACCCTACGCACCCAAATAGAATGGGCCAAGTGAAGTGAAGAGGATGAGGATGACATCCGTGGGGTCCCAGCACTCTACGAGGAATGTGACCCTCATGCACCTGGTACACGTCCTGATACAAAAACTTTAAAATGGTGAACACGGGAAGTGAACGCCCCAGTTCGCTCCGCTCTGAAATCCCAGCCTGAAGTGGAACTGAGGTGATGTGTGGAGCGACCTCCAGAGGGGCGGTGACTGTGACAGTCAGAGGCAGGAGGTCTCCCTCACTAAGACACCCTGGGCACACAACAGGCACCACCACCAACTGTGTAGACAGAACTATGGATATTCAGGTATTCAAATCCCAGCAGCAGGGAGGACTGGGACCCGGAGTCCCTGAGAATCAGGTCTGAGGACCCAGGCAGGGCCGCAGGGTCTGGGGTCTCAGCCTCCTGCGCTCTACTATTCTAGCTCATGTCTGGGGCTCCTGATTACACAGGAACTGGGAAGTCCTAGGGTAAACATGTCCACCTTCCCAAGGATCAAGTCCAGGAAGTTAAATCACTGTTCTTCCATTCAGTTCAGGGTAAGCAGCCGCTGGTGAAGTTAACACAGATTTTACCCACAGCACCCCAAACTTGAAAACAGCTCATTCCTGTTTGGTACCGGAGAGGGAACCCAAGGGCTCAACCACTGAGCTGCAGCTCCAACCCCCTTTCTCAAGTCTGGCTGAGTCCGCTGCTCTGGCCTCCAACTTGTGATCCTCCTGCCTGCCTCAGCCTCCCCAATAGCTGTGGTCACAGGCATGTGCCACCATGCCTGGCACAACTTCGCACAGTGGAGTAACTCAGATCCACTATTTCTTAATATGAAGAACAACTGGAAGAAAAGTTTGAGAAGTACAATTGGGAATAAGATATGAATGGAGGTTTGTTTGCTTAAAACAGTAGAGTGACACCAGATCTGTGCTTTGGGAGGGTTCTCTAGGGAAAGTGGCATGAAGGACAGGCTAATATGAGACAGGACTGCAACAGCAGGTGACAACCTGAAAAGCTGTAAGAGTCTGTGCAAGAGATTTAAAGACTGGAATGAGACCGAGGAGTGAAGACAGAGAGCCAGAAGATTCCAGAAAGTTCAGGAAGATTCCAGAAGATTCAGGAGGCATACCAGGAGAGCCTGACTGAGTGCATGGCAAGTATTCAAAGAATACTTTTAAGAATTTATTAACATGTGTTCGTATTTTTAGAACTAGTGTTTTTATGAGGTATTTCATGTATATATCTTTAAGAGTTCCACTTCAAAATAGTGCCTTCAGTGTGCCTTTAACCACAGAAACTAGTGCTGTGGAATGTTGTTATAAATGTTATACCAGAATTTAAACAGAAATTGATTTATGAAAACTATGTTTAAAAAGAAAACACTTATATTTTCAAAATGTTACAAAAAATTACTGGGATCCCACTCTTCAGTCACCACGTAATAACTTTTCTAGAGATATATTACCAGCTTGACAACTGGAGCGAAGAATGTCTTTGGCCATGTGATATAGTTAAATAAAGGAATAAATACAGACTCCCTTCTGGGAAAGAACAAGTATTTCAAATATCTGATTACTTTGTAATTGAGTAAAAGCTGCATTAGTCATTTTATAGGGTAAATATGCAGTTTCTGCTTAGGTAATTTAACGTAGGCCTTACTGCTTAAAAGCTCATCTTCATTAGTAAATTGATAGTAAAACACAGCTACCAGGAAAAAAAGCAGGCATTAGAACTGTCAAGGGAAACTGATAAAAGACAAAATCCTCAAAATTCATGCAGAACATATTCATGAAAACACTGCAACTTGAAAAGAGTAGAGAAAGTAAGTTTAAATATAATGGACCAATAAAAATAGCAATTCTCAACCAAAGTAATCTACAAATAAAGCTGTCTTTTAACTGCTTTTAGAAGTCCTACACTTTGTTCTATTTTCTTTACTTACAAACACAGGTCACAAATAATTATATGACTGTGATCAGAAAACTAGTGACACTACAAGCCCTGCACCCTTACACAAATACACAAAAAAGAACCTTGATCTGATTAATTTGAAAATTCTGTGTTAGAAATATTAAAAGCATTTTATCATGGAAGTTATTATAGAAAAGATCAATGCTAAAACAAGGCTGCAAACAAGTCTAGTTCCTTTTTAAATAACTTTTAGAGAAACTTAGCTTTCCAGCAATGGCAGAAAACTTCAACCTGACCCACGAATTTAAGATCTTACACTTACACTAGTTCTGTTTGCTAGGTTATGCTCGCGGCTTATAGGAAACTCTAAGATTTAGCAAGGGAGAGAAAGAACAGAAATCGCGTGGAAATCCCAGAAAGCAGCTCCCATCCCTGCGGGAGTCTAATCAGACTCCTGGTGTGCTCTTCCTGGTGTTGAAGGGAAATAAGGATGTCCACAGCCAAGCGAAGCCAGCGCTGCCTGAATCGGCACCTAACGTTCCCGGGGTCCCTGAGCGCAAACGGGGAGCGGAGAGGCGGCCCGGTGGTGCCCGGGATCCCCGCGCACAGGCGGACACAATTCTCCAGTTAGTTTATTTCCAGCTCCGCGGTCCGCCCGACTTCCGCGTGCCCGGTGGGGAAGCGCTCGCTCGCTGGGGTCGGACAGGAAGCCGACCGCAAGGGACACAGGTGACCCGGGTGACAGAGCAGAGGGGCTTTTATGCTGCTGCTGGACACGGAAGCGGCCCTGGCTGCAGCCCTGTGTGCTCGGCCTGGCTGTGAGCGGCTGCCTGGTCGCAAGGCACAGAAGCCGGGCGCCGGTCGTCTTATTTTGTGGGTCACCAGGAATGGGCCAAGCAGGCGTCAGGAGCCAGCCCCTGCGGGTGTGTGCAGCGGCAGGGCTGGGCCGCGGATCACACGGAGTGCAGCCTGCAGGTCACCTGGTGGGGCACACGTGGGCCGCCGGGGGACAGGGGAAATCCAGAGAAACACAAGAAACTAGAACGTTTTTGCGAAAACAAAATACCTCCGGGGAGCGACGCCCAGTGGAGGCGAGCGGAGGTCGCCGCTGGACGAGGTGACCTCCGGCGTCCGTGACTGCGCTCCGCTCTCATCCGCGCCTGGGCGCCCAGTGGGCGCTCAACTTTGCGGCCAGAGCCGATCGGTCCGTCTGATCCGAAGCGCGAACCCAGGCTCCCCCTGCCTCGGGGTGGCCGCGCGGGCCACCGTGTTCCTAACCTCGCCGGGACACCGGGTCCTGGACCTCGCGGGGGACACCCCGACCCCCGATCCCGCAGGGGCACCCCGACCCCTGACCCGAAGGGACAATGCAGCTCCGCAGGACTCGGGGTCCCTGCGTGGGCGCCCCGCCTCAGTTTCCCCGCGTGCCGCCCGCACCTGGCACCCGCAGCCGCGCGGCAGGTTGCGCACCAGGATCTTCCTGCGGTTGCCCAGCGCCCGCCGCATCCGCTGTAGCCGCGCGCGCACCTCCTCCGCCGCCAGCGCGCGCGCACCGGGACCCCCAGACCCCGCGGAGCACTCGGAGCTCTCAGAGCCCGCGCCCGCCGCCGCCATCTTCCCGCGGGCGGACTCGGGGCGGGGCGGGGCGGGCCGGGCCGGGCGCCCCTCCCCTCGGTCCTCGCGTGGGTCCGCCACACCTGCGCGCGCCGGCCTGGGGGGTTTGGGCTGCTCCCAGGGTCGCCGAGGAACGGCCGCCGGGTCACTTCCGGGCCAGGCGGGAACCCAGGGGCTCGGGGCGTGCCGCAGGCAAGCAAGGTCTGGTGGGCCGGGCCCCGGGGTTCTGGGCTGCGCGCCCGGCCTGCACCCTCGTGCGCAGGAGGCCCAGACAAGCAGGTCGTGGAGGCCCAGGGTGCAGGGGAGGGGGCCTGACCCCCAGCTCGGGAGGCTGTGTCACTCCAGAGCGGATCAGAGCGCAGACCTGGCTCGCACCCATGTGCCTCGTGCGCGTGAAGCAGGAGCACAGGTGTGAGGGGAGGCTGCAGGTGGCTGCTTAAGCCCCTGCACAGTGATCAGGGGAAACCGATCCAGAGGAAAACACGCAGTGTGTGCACGGGGGAGGACTTCTGCGTTCCTAGGCATGAGGTAGCCCGAGGACTGCTGGTCACCACCTTGCATGGCCACTGGGATGGGCACCAACTCCCCATGCTCCCCGCACCCGGAGAGGGGAGTCACAGGTGTGGCCCCAGAGTGCACACACATGTGCAGCACGTTCTCCCGGGTCAAGGGGACGTGCAAGGACACGGTGGCACATACCTCAAGGACACATTCGTCCTGTGGGAAGGGAATGCAAAGCCAGAGCCGAGAAGGCCACATGCCTGAAAGACACAGAGCAGAGACCCACAGAGCGACCCGGAGGGTGGGGCTGCGGAGGGGTCACGGGGTCACACTGCCTTTTGGAGAGATGAAAGTGATTTGGACCTAGACAGAAAAGGTAGTTGCCAAATACTGTAAATGTAACCAAAAGTGGCCTCTGAATTGCTCACTTTAGACTTGTTAATTTAAAATGGTGACACTGCAGTTGACAGTGGTTCTTGATTTTTATCAAAGCACATTACCATACTTAGTGAGTCCATGTTGCACGGAGTTGGTAGTTCTGCCCCTCCCCCCAGTCTCCCGGTTCCTTTCCCGTTTGCAGAAGATCTAACTCCCTATTTCCTGTTATCCGGCTTGTTCTGGTCTCTCACTTCGCTGTACTCTGAGTTTCTCATAGAAGAGAAATCATGCGATGTTTACACTTTTGTGATTTACTACGCTTAGTATCCTGGTCTCAAGGTGCCTGCATTTTTCTCCAAACGGCTCTCGTTCATCTTTCCTTGTGGCACAGTAGTACTCCATGGCGTGTCTGCCACCCTTCCTTCATCTGTTGATGGACACAGCGTGGCCTCCAGGACTGCACTGTCATGAATTCTGCATGGCCCATGGTAATCTGACGTCTTCCAGTCTTTCAGGAAATGCCCAGAAAGGAAGTAGGCAAGCGGAAAGGAGTTTCTAGCTTTAGTTTTGGAGGACTCTCCACGCGGATTCCTGCAGTGATTGCACCAGTTTGCATCCCCCAACAGTGCAGAAAGGTTCCTTTTCCCTGCAGCCTCCCCAGCAGTCCTTACCATTTGCTCCCTGGCCATCACTTGGGGACTAGATGGAATGTCAGTGCTGTTTTGATTTGTGTTTCTCTAATGGCCATCAGTGTTGAACTTTTTTTTTTTTTTAAATGGCCGTTTGTGTTTCCCGCTGTTTGCAGTAGATCTCAGGAACGCAGGAATGCTTGAACACATTATTATTTATGGCCATGTATTGTTCTACCGAGACAATGATCACAATGTGCTTGCCTCATTGCTGGGCAGCAGACAGGCTCATCTGCTGTAAGCAGCGCTGAGATTAATATTTCCTTTTCCTCTGGAAGCAGTCTCTTCCTCAGGGAGCAAGCACATTTAAAGACTTTGTATAAGCATTTCTAAACTGGTTCTCCCAGCTTCCTCATCCGAAGCCTGGAGGGCAGTGCTTCGTTCTCTGCTTGCATCCCTGCTGTTCTATCTCAGAAAGTTCCATATCTGTTTCAAAATTTTATTCCTTTGAATTAAAATATTATGCTTTTAAGCACCAACAAAATCCTATCTGGTGGAGCTGAGAGACTTTTAATTTACATTCTTTCAAGAGTGCAAGAAGCAAGAATAGTCTGGCGTGTGCAGGAGCCCGAGTCATGTGTGAAGTTTGGGACATATATTTACCCAAATGAGTACCGTCTGCTCGACAGGCATTTATTAAATGTCTATTGTGTGCTAGACAATATAGGTAAGGGCACAGAGAGTATAGAGATGGCACGGCCAGGTTCCTGCGTGGCAGGGGCTGCGTCTCACTGAGAGACAAGGGTGCAATAATTCTAATTAACCATGACGCCAAGTATGTAAACAGAACCCCGCAAGCAGCCAGGGAAGGCAGCTACAGCTATCTAAAGCTAACTTTGGAGATGCTGCCTTCGCCTAAGATCTTTTGCAGACTACTTTTTTATCTCGACTTCAGAATTAGCAGAAAATTCTCTTGCACGGCTTCTGTGGTACCAAATGTTCATCCCTTAGAGATGACTTCAGCTCTTTGGAACTAATTAAATGTTATTTGAAGCCACGTCTGGTGCATGAATCAGGTGTTGTTTTGGGGGTTGGATGATGTAACCTCGACAGGGACTGGATGAGAGTGTTATCCATTTATTAAGCTGATTCTATGAAGCGGCTGCTTGGAGTGTATTCGACTCTTTGACCAACATTGCTGGGTCCTGCAGAGCAGTGGCCTTCATTCTGCTTGGACCCCGTCTAATGGGATTTACATGCGCAGCCCAGGAGACACACGACCAGAATGAAGACTTCCGGCGAGCTCGAGCTCGGCACCAGACACCACCACATCCAGTTCCCCTCCAGCTGCCGGGACATCACCACGGAAGACTGCCGACACATTGAGAGATGCCCCTGTGCATTTTGAACCCACGGCCTTTTCTTGTTACTGTCGCTGCTTTTCCAAAAACATGGAGAAATAATGGGCTTGGCTGGTTTAAACTGTGAAAACTGATCATCCCCGCTACACCTTCAACGAATGGATGGGCACTGCCAGAAGTGAGGACGACAGGAGTCCCTTCATGTGGGCCCCAGCCACGCTGCTCAAGGGCAGCTTCCCCCGCCACAGAGAGGAACATGCGTGGGAGGGCAGGAGCACGGTGATCCCAGCGCTGCTCACTGATTTCACGCAGTGTTCATCGATTCCCGTGAGATTTCATGCAGTCCGTAGTTACTTGGACCCTATAATGAGCCCGGTGCCAATCTTAGCCTTTATGTTTCAAAATATGTATGATCACGTTGTATATTTTTAGGGTACTGCATTTGGGGAAAATGTTGGAGAAGCCTAATATGTCTCTAATAATAATAATAATAATCACCTCTCATAGTTACATGTCATGGTAACATGATGTAAATAAGCACGTTAACAGGCTTTGGATTCCGTGGGAACAATGCGCTTGTGTTACTTATTCATTTAGCCATATCTGTTGGTGCCCCAAAAGTACCAGACATGGTATGACGTGCTGTATTTGATTTTTATCCAGAAGTGTAGTTTTCCCTGGAAAAAGTAATTGCAATTCGGTAATTATACACTTAGTCTGAGAAATACTTTGTATGGAGCACTCTTAGTATTCTTTGTAGTGCAGCAAGGTGTGTGATTATGACTTAGAGAAAACTACTCTGCAAACCTGGGTCTTGAGGGATGAGTAGGAGTTTCCTAGATGAAATGGAGCACACAGAGAGGTCCAAAGACATCATCAGGACTGGCATGACCACAGACAAATAACTTGATGTTTATGAAAGCTGTGCTTTTTCGGGGGAGTAGCAGGAAATAAGTGGGAAGGAGGAGCAGCTGTCGCTCCAATTTGGAGGAGCAGAAGCTGTTTTAAGCAAACACTTGGTGTGGCCCAAAGGGTGACCTTAAAGAGAAGGAACATTGGGCAGCAGAGTGATCAGGTGTAGCTTCTGAGAAAGAATGGGGCCCACAAAGGAGCATGAGCTCCTCAGGCCATGACCAGGGCGGCTGGGGGTCTCTGGAAGTAGTCAGAGCGAGGACCTGGCAGGGCTTGTCCCAGAGTGAGGACCACAACACTGGGGTGTGTGGAGGCCTCGGGAGCTCCTCCTGCGTCCTTTAGCGTCGCAATGAGAAGCCCGCAGTTGGCCTGTGGTGCAGCTCAGTGTGACCTCTCTCCACGCAGGGTCCAAGCACAGGCCGTCAGGAGTGCTCTGAGGCCCAAGGCGGGACCCCGAGCTTGAGGAGGCGGCTGGCAGCTCCCCTGCGACCTGGCCAGCAGCCGGAACTGGGGGTTTTGCTGAGAGGGACGCTGGCTCAGAGTGGCAGCATGTGGTGACGAGAACACCAGCTCACCGGGTCAGTTCTGTCCAATTGGAACAAGTGCGAGGACCTTTTGAATATGCTGAGCCAGCTGGGCATGGTGGTGCACGCCTGAAATCTCAGCACTGAGGAGGCTGAGGCAGGAGGATCACTGTGAGTTCAAGACCAGCCTGAGCTACAAAGTGAGCCCAAGGCCAGCCTGAACTGCACAGCAAAACCTTGTCTCAAAAGACCAATAGATAAATAAATAAATGAGCCTCAGCATGTTTGTCCCCACAGCTGATGGATGGTGCCAGTGGGTGACAGCACCCAGAAGACCACGCCCCAGGCTATTCTGATGGCTGGGGACGGGGAGAGTGGTGGAGGTCCCAGCTGAGGCTCAGTACCTGGCCGGGGCTACTGGGATGCCAGCGGCAGTGACAGTGAGTGTGTGGTGGTCGTGTCTGAGCTCCTGGTGACATCCTGGAAGTGCAGAGACCACTGTTGTGGTTTTTGATGGGAAGGACAGGGCCAGGCGACATGGCACTGGGGGACAAGGTAGACGCCCTGGGGCAAAGACATCGCACCGGCATGGACATCTCAGTGGCCTAAGCTGCTGGATGGATAGGGATACCCGGAGACAGTGGTGAGGTGGTGGGGGTCCCCGGGTGGGAACCTGAGGGCCCTGAGACGCTGCCATGCTGGTGAGAACAGGAAGATACCAGGCTGAGTGGCCAGGTCACATCAGCCCACTGCCCACACCTTTGGTCACCTGGGTGGTGATCAAGGTCACCAGAGCCCCTGGAAATAACTTCCTTACATCTTCACAGCACCTGTC